GAAGTCGGCCGCTTAACCGACTGCGCCACCCAGGCGCCCCCTCAGTGATTATGTTCTTATTTATATTGGTGGTGGCTTAGAACCTGTTCCCGGACAAATACAGGGACACCCACATTTTTGCCTAACAGTTCAGAGGACCCTTGGATTTCCTGAAGGGAGTCATAGCTCACTCTTAGATGCCCGAAGAATCTACCCACCAAGGTTAAGACCTTCTGAATAGAAAGCAGCGTATGCTCTGTGAGGAATTAATGAACCCAAATGTGACGTAACATAATATGGCAGGCGGCGGTTGATAACAATCTCCCTATCCCTGAATGTGCATTAAATATTATGTTAACTGCATGCTTTCCAATGTGGTAGACTTCATGACGCTACGACTGCTTTATTAGAGCACGTTAAAAATATTAGTAGAGTAGAATGAGTTAGAACTTTCTACCAGTAAGAGAAGGAGACTACATCTGGACCACAAGGGACTGCTGCCTATAAAGATCTTATAAAAATAGCGATCGCAACACCCGTCTCCGTAGGCAGAGGCTTCTTGGAAATCCTCACGGGTTTCGGATTCAGTAGAGGCCATTCTAGAACTGCCGTTTCTCTTCTATAGCGTGCTCTAGCTGTATGCTTCCTTGTCGTGAAGTCATGCGGGATGGGTTGCTAGCAGGCTAATTCATCCCACCGTGCCTTTTTCCAGAATGATATTACAGCTGTAACCAAAGAAGGAAGAATCCTCCTCACAAGTCTGGAAGTGCCTAGCATTGAAGATGTCGTCAGTTCAAGACTTGAACGTCGGCCACAAATCAATGGTGACTGGCAAACCGTTAATAAGTGAGTACTCTCCTATTGGTTTGGAATTACTTATCTTACACTTTTGAACGGGAATTCTAATTTTGCTTCAGTCTCTTTAGTGTGCAAGTATTTCTGGACCTTTGGGAATCTGTGAACAACTTCTCACAGACATCAGTTTGCTTGTAGGAGAGGTTCTGTGGACATTGATGGGCTCTTCGTGGACCAAGTGTCATGGTCTCTGACTTTGCTTATAATTCTTTTTTTTTAATGTTTAGTTTTGAGAGAGAGAGAGAGAGAGTGCACGTGTGCAGGCACACGTGAGTGGGGGAAGGGCAGAGAGAGACGGGGACATAGGATGCAAAGTGGGGTCTGTGGTGACAGCAGAGAGCCTGATGTGGGGCTCGAACTCACGAACCCTGAGATCACGACCTGAGCTGAAGTCAGACACTTAACTGACTGAGCCACCCAGGTGCCCTGACTTTCCTTATAATTCTTTTTAAAAAAATTTTTTTTTATTATTTATTTTTGAGAGAGAGTGAGAGAGAGTGAGAGAGAGAGAGAGCGCGCGCGCAAGCAGGGGAGGGGCAGACACACACACACACACACACACACACACACACACGCAGAATCCGAAGCAGGCTCCAGACTCTGAACTGTCAGCACAGAGCCAAGCATGGGGCTCGAACTCACGAACCGCGAGATCGTGACCTGAGCCA